GTCCCTGCTTGAAGTCTCTTATTTTGTGCTGTTGATTGATTTCAAGTTTTCTGGGTAGCCGTGAACCTTACAATATGGTATAAATTCTTCTGGAGTTGCAGACTCTCTGTGATCTCTGCTATCAGACTGGAACTGGGAAAGCTAACCTAAACAAAAGAGACTTCCACCACAATGGTAAGGCTTACAAAATGGGTCAAACGGATTCCAGAAGGATACATATATCACATTCTACATCATCATCATTTTATGAATCTTCCAGGGTCAGAGGCAGTCTACCTCACAACTCAATTTGCTAGGAATTAATAGTGGAAGAGGGCTTATAATTAATTTTTTTTCCTAGGCAGTGTGGTCTAGCTTGTGAGGGCTGGGTCCCCACATCTCCCTAAGCTGTATATGTAGTTCAGTTTTGGTTTAACGTTCTGAGTGACTGGAAGAAAATTAAGCATGAGTTTTGTACAAAAAACATTAGAAGAATATTCACTCTCCCAACAAAATGAATGGAAAGAAGCTGTAAAGTTATAGAAGCCACTTGGACACAGTGAAAATCATTATGTTACAAAGTGCCACAGAAGTGTGTATAGTTTGGTCACGTCCGTGCAATTTTCTTGTCAGCGGTACCGAAATATATTGTAAGAAATGCTTGAGGTGATGTTAGAAAGGTGCATTAGTATGGGAAGTGAATGTATACATATTTTTATTTGCAGACAGGGCCATGTTGTGAATTGAAACCTGAATGATTGGCAGTAAAAGATTATATGATGCACTGAGGATTTGAAAAGTAATGTATCACAGACAAAGGTACTTGGGTTTGACAGGGAAATGGAGAGATTCATTGCAAGTTAGACATAAATATATGTAACCATGACTCTATGGCTTGACAGCAGAATATCTGCAGGACCGCCTCTTCCAACCTATTGCAAGAAATGAATGTTAGTCGAAAGGGGCATTTCAAATACGACTGTGTTTAACAATCTGCTTCTGTCCATTTTGTTATATGCAAGTGAAAGTTGGATATATCAGGAGTGCTAAATACGTGATCCTCATATATTTTCCTTCTTGGTGCAGACTGGAAGAAGCATCACCGGGTGTCCTTTCCACCTCTATTCTGCCACTATTATGTGGCATAAAAGGCACATTTTATTATGTGCGTAAAAGGGTTGGAATAACAAAGGGACCGTCATCTTTGGGACTGGCCGTGCTAATTACCCGCAGTCTTGTTTCCAGGGGATCTGGAAAGTTCTGTGCATTTTAACAACAATATAGATTATTGACATTAAATCCTCCTTTTATCACCTTCTTGTATTCATGATTCTCTTTCCCTGCTTTTGCCCTGCTTTTTCCAGTTTCTGATGTTTGCTGAAGTTTAATCAGTCAACATCAAACTATATAATTTTTTGCCAGCTGAACTGACTTGGGTGTGCCCTGAAGGATTGACCGGGTGTGGGCTGAGTGCAAACAAAACTGGAAACTAACCACAGTTACTTTTCCAGTGAGGAGGAACATCAAAGCAATTTGAATGCAGGAAGCCTCGCTAATGAACGGCTGTTAAATCAGCAGAAAAGTGAGTGACCGGTACAAAAGGAGAACTTGACATGGTTTGGCCGCGTAGGGCAAATAAAGCTTTCTTACCCTGTTGTAACAGGAAGGGGAGTTCACTTCAGGGAAAGAGTCCAAAAACAGAATGCAGGCATGCCACCAAAAAGAGCTTTTTGTCTCCAGCAATGATTGCTTGTTGGCCCAGTTTCCAGAAAAGTAGCCGCTGGCTTTGCCTTTTGCAAGAGTCTTGTAGCAATTTAAAGATTAACAAAGGTAATATTGTAAGCTTTCGCAGATGACAATCCACTTCACAAAGCACAGTCCTGAGAGAGGACAGATACACACACACACACACAGACAAGAACACACACACAGAGAACTATTTATTATAGGAGGAGAGCTGTGTTAGTCGACTGCAGCCAACATCAGAAGTCTGGTAGCACTGTTCCGACGGACAACTTTTATTAAAAGGCATCAGCTTTCATAAGCACGCTAGCCGTTCTGATTAAAAGAGCTGGAGCTCATGAAAGCTGATGCCCTTTAATAAAGTTGTTAGACTGACAGAGCTAGTGAGTAAGCAGTGCGGAGCTAAATAGACTGACAATCTTAACAAATACGGACAGTTTGCAGCAGTGCAGAAGCATCTTTGCTTCAGTGTGGTCCTATACTGTTGTCATCTGTCATTTATTTCCAGCTCTGCTGTAGGATATCTGAATCACCCAGCAGCCATCTTTCCTTTTGTGGTTCTGCAGAGCAGATGGACCCATCAGGAGGACCTTGCTTAACCCCCACCTCGCAGCACCTGGGTTCACACCAGCATCTTCGCTCTCAGAAATAGCACATCTGCTTTCTTTAATCACTGACCCAGACACACTCAAAAGGTGGGAAGAGGGCACAGGGGCTGAGTGCAGCTTCTTGGACAGCTGGAAGAAAGACTGCATAGCTCCTGTGGGTTTCAGAGTTTCAGAGTGAAACCATAAGTCAGCTTCAAGCTGTTTTTGAGGAACAGAGAACAAGGAATGGTGGCCGTGTGGAAGGACGCCGTAAGGCACCTTTCTTTCTCACCAATTTGTCTGGGAATGAGCCTCCCAGATTACAGATTGGCTTAATTTCAAGTCAACACCCATAAGATTGCATTGCATTTTAATGCTGGGAAAGGTGGAAAGAAAGAGAGGAAGAGGATGATCAGAACAAGGTGGATGGGCTCAATTACAGTGGTGATGGGTGCGCTAATGGAAGACCAGCTTGGGAACCGAGCGTCCTGGAGAAAATTATCTATGTGGTAGCTAAGAGTTGACACCACTTTGATGGCACATAATCAATTGAAGCAAATACATCCTTTCTCTGAATGTCCCCTGCCCTACCCCCCATCTTCCTCTGGTTTTTGTGCTGCCCATGTTGGATTGTGAACTTTTTAGCCCAAAGCTTTTATATATATATTTTATATATATTTTACATGGAGGGCATAAATACTGTAATAAAAAAGCAAAAGAGAGGGAAGGAACAATAGCTGATGTCAATATGGCACCTTCCCCCCTTCTAATTGTGAATTTAACTAAAGAACACTAATGAGATGTGAGTCCATGGAGAAATAACAGGGAAGTATCTTCACTGACATGGGGGAAGGCTACAGCTGGCAGAAATATAGAACAAAAGCAGGAAACATGTTCAAGCATCAAGCTGACCAGGTAGCCATGGAATATTGTGTGTCAGTTGGAAAGAGAGAAGCATAGAGAGGAAGCAATGGACAGACCCGCAGGTGGGCATTTTTAAAAAAATTTATGTAATTTATCAATGCCCTCAATCCTCATGGACTCTAGGTAGTTGACAGGTATTAAAATAGCAATGAGGAAAATATGATTTAAAACTTTAGTAACAAAAATATTAACAAGGTGTATGAAATAACAAGAAAAATGCACGTGTGTGTGCACACACACACACACACACACGGGCAGCTGTGGTTCCTCAGTCAGTCCCAAGGCCTTCTCGGAAAGCCAAATTTTTATGAGCTTCCGGAAAGCCACGCACGGGGCTGGCCAACAACTGGAATCATAACCCAGAGAGGGCAGGAGTCTTACACAATTTTTGGTTGAAAATTCAGCTTGTTGACCAACTTTCCTCGGAAGCAGCTTTCTGAAATATTTGCAAATTCCTTTCTGCCCAGAACCTTATGCAAGAGGCTTTTCTGGGTAATCTGCAGTTCTAAATTAAAAGTTACAATGGAAAGGTTTTCTTTGTGTGACAATCACTGCTGTTTAATTAGAACTGACTTGCTGAAAAGAGGATAGAAGCCATTTTCACACCAGTTTGTTTATTAATCATATAATTACAGATGTTACAAGTATAATACAATGGACATAGAGCAAGATCCCATATACCCAAAACATACTTTAGAAAACAGCCTATCTCATGCATGGGTAACAATCTTTGGCACATGAAAAATAAGTACGTTAAGTTGACAGATTTATGCCTGGATGAATCATATCTACAAGCTAGACGCATGTGTGTGCTCTGTAATGCCAGTTACCCCATTGATCAAGGCTCAAAACATCTCTGAGCATTTGTCCTTACTCACCTGTGGCTTGATACATAGACATCCATTTTCTGGATTTGCAGAAACAAAAACAATTATAATGCTCTAACTACAATAATTTCTATATAATTTCTACTATAATAATTTCGTTGTACGAGAAGTACAATGACAATAAAGATTACTTACTTAATAATTAGCAAATAAGAACCAAACAGCAGTTATACATATGCAAAAAGAATAAAATCAATATATACCATCATATATTTACACTGACAATGAAACAAATAGTATATAATAAACTAAAAATAAAACCTAAACCTACCTATCATTTCACTTCACTAACATATATTGAACACAAATTAACCAAATGAGTTAAATCACAGACAAATAAACCCCCAAAACAAAACCCCAAATGGAAGTGAAAATTAAACAGGCTTTGAATGTAAGGAAAAACACTGTTATTGGGGCTTTAATTGACATGGCTAAGAATGATGCATAAACCCAATTTGTACAACACACTTAACCTGGTTACTGAATTAACCTGTTTTCTGGATTCCCACAATACATTTGAGCCATAAACTAACTAAACAGATCACTGTGTTCTTGGGGTTCTTGGTGACATGGGAGAGTGAAAGCTGTTGGTTGTCCAAGGAACTGTCAAAGAAAAAAAACCACACCCCAACCATGACTGGCAGGGCAGGCTACTATATATAAACCGCCAGCAAACTTCACTCCCCCCTGCACTGGTGATGTTAACAAGCTTTGTAATGAAACAGCTGCAGGAAAACAGCCCACGCTCAGAGCACACCCAGAACCCAACAGCTCAACACTGAGTTGTAAATACTCTCTACTCTTTAAACAGGCTCAGTTTACAAAATGCACAAATCCGGGGGGGAGGCGGGGGGAATTAACTGATTTTAACACTAACCAAACTCAGCATAGCTTTACCAACTTGATTAAGCCAGTTATACAAAACACAGACTGTTTGTAAGAATTTGGATCTGTAGGGAGTCATGAGTGCTGAACACCTTTCTCCTCTGTAAGGTTGTTCGGGGCAGGCAGAAAAAGCATCACATTCTCAGAACACAACACAAGAGCTGCGAGATTTGTATTATTCAGTCATCGCCTACCAAACAGATACTGTATATACATTAAGCTCAGGGCGAATCACTAAAGATCTTTGCAATAACTCTTCCAGAAACACAGACCCTCAGAGGATCCTTTCTGAATCACTCGAGTCCCTTCGTGATGGTAGCAAAGGGAGAAGAATAAACCCCACAACTTCTTCCTCACTGGATTTTTCTCTTTGTGCTTTCAGAACAACGAATCAGGATCAGATCTTTACTGGGTCTCGGAGGAATTGCCGGCTGAGCCTTGGGTTCATCGCTCTCATTTGTTTCCTCTAGAAAATAAAACGGTGGGGTGGGGGGAAACACGCTTGAGACGATGCAGCAAGACCTATTACGACATGCCGCGCTGCCTTCCTGTATTGTGGTGGAGGCAAACCAGGGCTGCAAGACTGTCTTTCAGATCTGGCATCTGTAATGTGGCAACCCTGAGGTTAAAGAATTACTTTTCAGAGGCCTGGTTTGCACAAGAGGAGGCAAATCATCGTAGCATCTTGGGTGACCCCAGCTATCATGTTAGGCCAAATGTTCCATACAAATATTCCATACAAAAATATTTATATCAAAAAAAGGAAGAGAAGAAAGGAGCCTGCGTAGCCCTAGCTGAAGGTTTAGGTTGTCAAAGAAGGCCGTTTTGTGCCCTGACACCTTTTCATATTTAACCCAATTAGACACTCCAGGAGGACGTTTTCTGATGCTCCCCACAACTTACTGATAATGTTGGTTTTGCTTATGAGGTTGTTCTTCAGCTTCTTCCTGCTCAGCATGTACTTCACGCTATTTCGCCGGTACATCTCCTGGCTGATCTGCTTGCGGCTTTGATTGTGGATGCTCTTGATATTACTGATGCTAGACCTGGTCAGTCATCCGGAGGAAGGGGAAATCATCACTGAAACTATAAGTACACTAAGAGCAACATTGGAATCTGCTAAGCCAGGTTTCCCCAGCCTGGCATCTTCCTTGTGCGTGGACTACAATTCTCATTGTTCCCAGGCTGAGCGATTCCCGTTGCGTTTCCCCAGAAAATCCCCACGGTTCCACTGGCTAGGGATGATTTATTTGGATCCTGCATTGAGCAAAATGTCGGATTCCGTGGCACCTCCTTTCTAATTCTTTGTTTCAGGAATTCTATGCAATTTGCCCATTTCCCAGCCTTAAGATCTCATCTATCCTCTCTCTCCTGAGAAAACACAACTCAGGTTCTGCTTACTTCCTGCTGAAGTAACCAGAGTTTATGAGAGCCCCTGACTCAGATACTGGCCTTGGCAAGTGCCTGAGAATGTCTACTTATGGCCAAAGGCTGAAACAAACTAGTTTATTGATTTACATTCATATCTAGGGGCTCCAGATGACTTCTATAGAGAACTCTCTTCATTTTATCCCCACAACAGCCCTGTGAGGTAGGCTGCACTGACATTAGACTAGCCCAAAGTCTCCCAGTGAATTATCATGGCTGAGGATGGCCTTGAAGTTTAGTTTCACCAATCGTAATCCAACCCTTCAAAACAAACCAACATCCAGAGAACCCTACCTTCGAGGTGGTGCTGCTTTGTTCCTCAGCTGATTGTTCTCTGTAGCTTTTTCCTCTCCTGCTTTCTGCAGATACATTGAAGGGTAGTAGCCGGTGATTTCATCCTTCCTAAGATTTAAAAACATCATTTTATTGACACATAAAAATAAACAAGCAGGGATAGCTTGAACCATGGCCGCACCCCATGAGCAAGATCCTTCTAAGAAAGTTGAAATCTATATAATACTGAACAGCGTAAGAATGATTCATGCTCCAGGGCTATCTCCCACACACTGGTTTATTTAGCTATGGCAGTGTTTCTCAACCTTGGCAACTGGAAGATGTGTGGACTTCTTCGGGGGAATACTGGGTGTTGAAGTCCACACATCTTCCGGTTGCCAAGGTTGAGAAACACTGAGCTATGGTCTTAATAGCATTTGCAACACATGGATGTTAATCAGACTGCTGTCAGTTGAGACTTCCTCTTCTTAATCCTGCCGCTTCAGATTTTTGAGGGCCTCTTTTGGGCTCTTTCTGGCTACTTATTCTTTGTTGACAGAGGCTTGCCTTTTAAGCATCACACTGAAGGTACGTGGACACTGGAAAATGGGAGGCACTCTCTCCATCTGTTGACGATGGTGTGGAGATAGGCCACTGGATCAGGAACTGCCCTGCAAAGTTTCTAACAAGGGCTTTTCCCAGTTTAACGGGGAATTAACCTAAAACTTCTGCCCATAAGTCAAGCCCTTGGCTCTGAGTGATGACTAAGGATGAAAGAATACGCTCACTAGTTTCACTCTGAAGAACTCCAGCAACATTCACAGATGACTTCATATATGGGAGAGAGAAAGAACTTTAAAAACATGAATAAGGAAGTAACCAAACGGGAGAAAAATAAACTGGCAGATTCATCCTCACAGGAAAGAGGTTCTCAGACCTTAAAACCGTTAGGATGGATTTGCATAACACATTGAATCTGGTTAGCTCAAGGCCTAACAGCAGCACTTAGACCACTTGCTCAGCTAACTTAGTTTTAATCTAAGTCAGAATTCTGGTCTTCACTGCAGCCAAAGCAACATTTCAGAATGAACACAAAGCCCAACATTTGGAGAGAAGATTGGCTGGTGCCACAGCATCCTGCCAGGTCACCACAGGGTGGAGGCTCTGTTGTAAAATCATCTCCTCAGCCAGCAGTAAGTGGAGCACGGTTGCACAACAGGAAAGCAGGTGTGGTGAATGCCATTTCTGCAGG